CATGCCATATTTCTTATAATTAATTAACTTATCCAACTTTTTTAATATAATCAAATTAATTAAATAGGTCTTATATTAAAGATTAGAAATATATATATATGATGAACTGTGCATTGGTGACTAGTAGTTGTTGGTTTATATGGATCATTCCATTAATTAGTTTCTCTTTGAAGGGAAATGATGACGTTGGTGGGCTTTGTGGTTGATTAATGGGCAGCTAGTGGCTAGAATCACCTATGTGATTGTTGCGTGGGCGCTCATATTTTTACGCAAGTGACAGTTATGGAGCCCTCCGTTTGATTGGTTATTTTAAAAGGAGAATTATCACGTTTGGAGAAAAGAATTTAATTACTGAAAAATTCAATGACAAGTGACTAGTATAAATCTGTTGTCATTTTTTACCCTAAAGCTTTTTATTGCATGCTTTTGAAATTGCCAGTAGATTTTAAAGTAATTAAATTTCTTTATCAAGACCTTACCGTAATTCTTCCTATTTTAAAATCAAAACAAGTGGGTGCTTTTGTTCTACGGGCAAAGTTAGCAGCATTGCTTTTGTTCTATGGGCAAAGGAAATGTTTCAATCTTATTTGGTTGGGAAAACGGAGGAAAGATACTTTCCATTTCTTGTTGGGCTGAAATAACATGAAGAAAAAAGGAGGAGAAATTTTAATAAATTTTCACTCTCTTTCCTTTCCTATCCTTACCTCTAAAGTAGAAGGATATTTGGAGCGGTTATTAAAAGGTTAAGGTGAAAATTTATCAATTTATATTCGATATGCACTAAACACGATATACTTTGTTTGGATGCAAAACTACTCATAAAAATTTAAAATAATATAAAAATGACATTATTATCCACGCCTAACGTCCTTTTTTTTTTTTTCCGCGTTGGTATTCACATCAGCATAGTTGTCACACTCTACTAAAAAATATTCCATCTTCTTCCATCACTAATCACACCATCATAACCATGTTCAAATAAACTAGCAGCAAATTCCAAATATCATCCCATATCAAACCAATTCAACAATATTATCCCATATCAACATACTCAAATCAAGTCCTAATCAAATTAAAACAAAAAAAAACAAAATTAAAAAAGAAGAAAAATATGGCAATCGACCGACAACATCCAGAAATTAAAAAAAAAAAAAAACCAAAGGCGAAAATCAGGATATAAAAGAATTAGAATGTGTTTAAACAAGATTGGAGATGAGAAGATGCAGAGCAGATGGATCAAACATGAAGAAATCAAAGGCGAAATTGAAGAAGCAAAGCAAATGGATCAATATTCAAATAGTTAGATCAAGCCTTCGTCGAATAAACCTTCAAACACACTACCCATCAGATCTTGGAATCAGCTTTCAAACCTGCTTACATCTAGCCTTCAGATGGGTGGAAGAGTAATCAAAGATGGTTGGGAAAGATGTTTGGTGTCTGGGAACAGCGTTGAAGACGAAGAGAGAGCGAGCTTCAGAACAATGTCAGGGTCAAAGAGCAAGAAGGAGATCAATTTATGAATGGTGTTAGGGAGGAGGAGGGAGAAGCTAGAAACGGAGTCACCATTAGAGAGGAGGAAGGAGAGCCTCGGAATGACGTTGGAAGGGGAGAAGCAGTAAAGGGTTGGCCAATGTGCAGATGAAAGGGTTAGGAATTTTCAATTTTTTTAAAATAAGAAAGTAATATCAAAATGTTTTTTTCTTTCCCCACCCCCCGCCATTGCCTCTGGACATTATGATGGTCAAATATTCTTCCATGTTATCATTTTCAGCCAACAAGCGCGATCCATGATCGTTTGGTGAATCTAACAATTGTATATTACTCCTTCGGTCCTTAACATATAACTTAATTATTGAGTTAATTTTGGTCCTAAATATAAGACCCATTTATCATATTTATCAATTTTATTTAAATTACCCCTATAGATACTCTCTCCACCATAATCAAGTAGAAGAGGGAGATGAGGTATTAAGAAAGATGATTATGGTGTTTTAGGAAAAATGTGTCACTCTTCTTATAATTAACTAACTTACCTAACTTTCTTAATTTAATCAAATTAGTTAAATGAGTCTTATATTAATAACTAGAAGAGTATTACTTTGGTTTTGCAAGTTTATGAATATTATTGTATCTTCAAAAGGCATATGCATTGGACAATGGACATACTTTGAGTAACACTTTATGATATTTTTTTCCCAACTAAACTTTATGATACTTTTACATCTTTATCTAAAAATAAAATATACGAAAAATGCACCGTTACCATTCTAACCTCCTTAAATGGTGCTTTTTTTTTTTTTTTTAAGGCCAGCTTCTTGCATTGGTGCTTGGACTAGGCAGTGTGGTGCTTTCAAAGCAACTGAGAACTAGTTATAATCTTTATGGGTCTGCTTGTGAAAAGGTTCAAAAACATTTATAAGCATGTTTTATATAAGCTGATATAAAACTCTTTTTACATACTTATCTCGTATTCTGTAAATTATTATTGAAAAGTTTCTTATAAGCTATTCTAAAAAGGCCCTACATATATGTGTTTGTGTAATGTTTATATTTTTTTGAGAAAAGAAAAAAATGAAATTAGCAAGATATTAAGATACATAAAAATATAAATCTGTATATTTTTTCTAACATAAATATTTTTTCTCGAGACAACATAAGACTTTATGTGAAAAATTAATATGCAAGTCCCAATAATTTTATCTTATTTTTAATGAAGTTTTTGTACATAGTTTCTTCAATTATATGCATTGGTTTCTATACTTATAATTTGTTAATTTGTTAGAAAAACAACATTGATAGCTAATGATGTGATTCTCACTGAGCATACACTTGGATTAATTTTATGACATGGATTTGAATAATCACCTAGATTATATATTATATATAGACAGTCATGAGAATAATAATTTTTTTATTTTTATGTTCATAATAAATAAATTTTATTCTATCATTTTATTTTAAAAACTTTTTTTGTTTTGTATTTGGTCACAACTCAAATGTCTACATTAGTCCAAACTAATATATTATAAGTTTAATGACTAATGGCTGTAATTGAAATATATAGTTTACTTTATGCTAATCACATCTTAAATATCAAAATAGTAGTTAAGACAATTATTTAAAATAGACATGAAAAAATATTTGGTGCCATTAAACGATCAGGCTCCCAGACTCAGTTATATATCCATACTTCTTTTAGCATAATAATTATTTATTGATATTTGAACATAGTAAATATAGAGGAAAAATAAAATTTATTGTGAATTATATAATGATACTAAGTATTGGATTAAATCAAATTTTCCACTAAGTTTTCAAGGTAAAAAAAAGTTTAAATTGAACTAAAATTCATATTAAATAGAATACATTCAAATAAAAGCAAAATTTAGATGGTAAACAAGGAAAAAATATTAAATATGAAGGGAAATAAAAATATAATAAGACCACTTGTTAGTAGTTAAGAGCATTACTTGTTATAACTTTAGAATACCACGGGTTACATTTGAACAAAATTATTCCATTTATAAATGAAAAAAAATGCTTGTTATTTACAAATTAAAATTTTTTCATAATATGGCGAATTAATATTTAAATTTTTATTAAAAGAAATACCCATATTTAATATCTATCTTGAATAAAATTATCTTTAATAGGAGAATATCTATCAATAGCAAAAAAAAAATTTCCAATTTACTAAATTATAACTTCAGTCTCAAATTTTTTTTTCGTTAAAAAATATCAAATCTTCTTTATAACATGTATAGATGTGTGTTTTGACAGCTTGCAAAGGAGCAATAAATCTGTTTCAATATAAAATATTTCAATACATCCATATGGATGTATTGCTAGTTATTATTTAAATGAATGATCTAAAATAAATATGGATTATTATATAATTTTGTAAAATTTTTATTTTATTAATATTTAAATAATATCAAGTATATTATTAAAACATTGTGGAATCACTCGATGTAATAATATGATATTAAGATTAAAGAATAAATTATTTAAAAAATCTTCATGTAATAACAAGTTTCAATATGGCACCATGATGCAATACAAGAGGAGGCATGTTCTAATAATAAACCTCAGTTGAAACATATTAATAAAATATTTATTAAAATATAATACAATATAAAAAATTTTAAATACTGTTAAAAATAAAAAATATAAATATTATATAAATGAAAGGAAAAAAGCTAAGAGAGGTTTAAGTTTGGTCATACTTTTGGATGGAGCATTTATTTACAGATTTACTGCCGTTCTCACATTGGCAGCCAACTCTAAACCCATAACCTTAAATTATAAGTCATATTCTTACAAGTCAAATTATAAGCCATATTCTTACAAGTTAAACTATTATTGTGGGGAAGTTGTTGTATTACTGGGGGAAAAAGGTTAAATGAAGATATCTATTATAGCTGCTCATTTATAACATTAATCTTTTTGTCAATGGCAAAAAAAAAAAACTTATTTTGTCATTACAGCATCATAGAGTTTGCAAATTAGCTACAACATCATATAGGATAACTTATTTATGGAAAAATCTAATCTAATATATAAAAATTTTAAATCATTAGCAATTGATGATTGATAAAATATAATAATAACCTGTTTAGAACAGCTTATAAGTAACTTTTCAATAATAAATTATAAAATACGAAATAAATATATGAAAAAAATTTTATTTCAATTTACATAAAACGTATTCATAAAGAATTTCTATTATAATTCCAAACATGATTCCAAACAGGCGCAATATTGGAGAAGCTATAAATAGCCAGAGCTTAGTCTCACGCCTTATACGGACGTTAAAGAATAAGTCGCATGACTTATGGTATACTATGAATAAATAATAAATTATTTTACGGGAAGAATCTAATACAACTAATAGAAAATTAAAACATTAATTAATTAATTAATTAAGCACTAATAAATTAAGGTAAGAAACAAAACTGGTATATATGTCAGCGTAAGAATACAGGCATTGGTAAACTCAACAGCCGAAACCTCTGATGAGTTTTATCATCGCCGGCCATGGAAGTTGTCGTTAAGCTCTGAAGCAAGGTAACCAAGAAATTTGTCTTTTCAGTTATGATTGCCATATGCGCCCTGAAAATTATCGCATAGCTTCCTGCTTTCATCACTGATTATTTATCCGGCAGCGGCGGCGGCTGGGGCTCCTAGATGTCTGTAATCGAGACCCCGACCGTCGATTGCGTTCATCAGCGCGGCGGAGGTGGTGCCGATCACCACCGTACCTCAACCAAACGTAAATTTGATGATTTCACGGCAGCCTTCAACTATGACGGGGAAAACTTTTCTGATTTTTGCGACTCATGCGACTTGGTATCGGTAAGAATGAGGAAAGACGAACCTAAAGCCCAAAATTTTTGCAATTCGGAAACTTTTAACGGGTCTCTCTTAGATGTTGTTGGTACTGGGGTATCGGGCACAGCCCCGTACGCTTGTTCGTCCCGGTCCGAGTCGACCCGGCCATGGTCGAGGTTGCAATTTTTCATTCGATTGATGTCAGAAGCAAAAACTATGGTACTTGAAGCTTGTCCACAAGATACAGTAAAATCGATTCATGAACGTATCCAAGCAATTACGGGCATTCCGCTGTTTGAACAGAGACTGATATATATGGGTAAACAGCTTCAGTGGGAACAGACTCTGGTCGAGTGTGCAATTGAGAGAGATTGTTCGCTTCAATTGGTTGGGCGCATGCGCAGCACTGAACATCCTCAAGCTTGGCAGGTAATCAACGATATGGTTTCTCTAATTTGGCGTCTCTGCAGGGGTGAAGTGGAACATGATGCCTTGAAAATGATCAAAGCCCTCATGACTGATTATTTACAAATGACTTCTAGAATTGATAACGATGCAGCTTCTGGGTATTTCCAGATATTTTTGTCTTCATCTGCCGCTGCTATGCTAGTTATGCTCTATATGTCACCCTATGTAGGTAACAAAGAATGTGGTGATTGCTCAATTAGGCATTTTTTGAGTTCCTGTCGCAGTACCTTGTCTAAATCATTGCATACTACGTGTGCGCGTGTAGTGCTGGAGTTTTGCAAATTACTTAGAAGGGCAGGTCCTGAGGATCCTTTATATCTCTCATGTCGGAGCACCTTTGGGTCTTTTTTGGAGACTGCTATCATTGCCTATGTTTCTGAGAATGAAAAGGATTTGAGCGAAAAGCAGTTGATTTTAATTGAAGATATTCTCCCTTTTGTTCGGGAGATTGCAAACAGACTGTTGAGGGCTTTGGATATGAGTATGGAATCCCCCACTAGTGGAGGGCCATCGGTGGTTGATGTTCGAGATTTTACTGCATTCTTACTGCCCTTAAGAACTAGAATCAGCGAGCCACTAGCTTTCAAGAGTCTACATTCTTCCAAGTCTGATGAAAAACTAAATAAGCTCCTGTTACTGGATGATATTCATCTTATATTTAATGAATTATTACAAAAAATGGATCAGTGCCTAAATAAAATGCAGGAAATTTTGGCTGCCAAGGAACGAGATGAGGGACATAATTTTTATTCAGCATGGTCTCAGTATCTTTCCATCTTGAAGGAATTGTATCACCTCTCTAAGCTCTATGATGGAGCTGAAGAGGAATTTTGGTGGGTTTTGAGACGTCAGAGAAGCATGCTGGTTCTACTTATCACCCAATATGCAAAGAGAACTGATGATCATCAGTGGATTCTGGAACACAAGTGCGTAACGAATTTCGAATGCAGAAGGCATTTGGTGATGATGATGTTCCCAGATGTAAAAGAGGACTATGAGGAATTGCATGAGATGCTCATTGACCGGTCTCAGCTGTTGGCAGAATCATTTGAATATATAGGACGGGCAGAGCCTGAATCTCTACATGCTGGTCTTTTTATGGAATTCAAAAATGAGGAAGCTACAGGTCCAGGTGTACTGCGAGAGTGGTTTTTCTTGGTATGCCAAGCTTTATTTAATCCACAAAATGCTCTTTTTGTGGCGTGCCCAAATGACCAGAGGAGATTTCTTCCCAATCCTGGTATGTTCCATCTAGAATCTGAGCTCAAATGCATTTTTTCCAGAGTAATTTTCTTTTCTATCTGTGCTATATTGCCCTGTAATGATTTTTTTTTTCTTGTTTCAAATTCTATGTATTTGATCGGGGTTTTGCTGTATGGATCTATGGAAACTGTTATGTTGTTTGATTTCCAAGGGTTTTGAATTATAAAATAATCCCTTTTAAGTATTCTTAAAGCTTGAAGTAAATTCATAATGGGAGAAATATAGTTAGGCTCCAATAGAGCAAATTAATGACAGTTAGGTGCCAACAAATTTTTCAAAAAATGAGTTGCAAATATTAATTTAAATAACTGCAAATTTAGTAGTTCAATTGCATATGAAGTATTTAAATTTAAAAAATAACTCTTAGTTTGCATGAGATTCGTGTTTACAAAATCAATATTTGAACTCATTTTTCAAAATTTTTTTTTGGGGACTTAACTCTCATTGTTTTAACCTTTTGGGACATAAAGTGTCATTCCCCCATTGATAAATGCAAGAAAGCACCATATCCTGTAAGTTAAATATAGCAGTAAACCAATTAGTTACACTAAAGTTTGATAATGTAAATAATTCTGTCACAGACAAAGTCTCATACGGCTAAGAAAATCATACAAACGTAATCCATAATTCCAAAAGAATGATATAAAATCTAAATAAATGACACACCTGACAAATCAGAAATGTAAGTGGCTGTTTCACGTAAAGCAGTGGTCATACGATCTTTCCTTCGACTTTCAGTCACACCAGAAACTCTGAGCAATATATAAAGAATTCATTATCGATTATCCATTGCTATGTGAATAAAAGGCAATGTTTAATAATAAATGTAAATATCAAAAATATGAAACGGAAAACATTACCTTATTGAATGGCATCATCATCTTTTCCTTTAAGTTGTTAAGTTCATGAAGATTAGAGATGAATTCTGAGCTAGATTCTTCTTAGTAACTTAGTTTCTCCAAGTTACACTTGCCTACGGTCTCTAGAAATTGTTGTTTCTTGGACATTCAGCTCTCATGCTTACATTAGAGCACCTTATTAACATGTGTAATGGATTAATGGCAGTGTGTGTGCACATGTCTGTGTAAAGCACCTTATTAACATGTATAATTTGTGTATGTATGTTTGATTGTTGTCTTCTTTTCTTGCTTTTTTCCTTGGCTATATCCTCTATTTGGCAACGGAATTCAATTAATACAGAAATCATGCCCAAAAACTAACCACAAATTAAGTCATTTTTTCCTCATCAACTAATTTGATAAATTTTCGCTTTTTATTTTACTTAATCAATTCAAATAACTCTCATGAATTCCTAATTATAATGAAAAATATGTTAATTAATATCAAAATATAGAGTCATCCTTTACCAAAATTAAAATATATATGTATATGTATATATAGAGTCATCATGCACTGGGATTTCCTTGTGCAAAATGAGGAGGGATTGATTGAAGAATTAGGTTTAATATAAGGATATCACTAAACAATGGTGCGTTGGAGGAAAAATGTGTCTGTACATAAAGAATCCTTGGGGCTGCAGAGCACATTGGCGTAGTGTGTTTCATACAGCTGATCCCTCCTAATAGGGTAAGACTTGTTGTATAAATAACCTTTGGGCCAGGTTGGGCTTCTTAGTCCTGAGTGCTAACTTAAAGCTTGATTTGACTTGAGGGTCCAACCTATTTTATATTTTGTACTTGTTTTGTGCTTGTCTTTTTGTGCTTGTCTTCTTTTTTCTTGAACAAACCTAGCTTGAATTGACGAACTCAAGTTCAGTTTGCTATGTCTTTAGGTTCTATACACAGACCTAGTTAGTGGCCAATATTTAGTTTCTATTCACATTGTTTTTATGAAACCCTAGAACTTCTGTTCTTATCTTACTTTACATTCCAACACCATTCTTTGAATTCTTTGTTCTTCTACTTGATTTCATCTCTTTTGTCACTCAAGATTTGGCTTGAGTACTTATGAACAATTTAGGGCTGATACAGAAATTGCCAAATCATAATGTGATGACATCTTCATTGCCATCAGTTTTATATGCTGATAACGCGTTGACCAAAATTGTGAGAGTCTAATGCATTAGAGAAAGTTATCTTGACAAAGCTTGATATTACCATTCTGCCCTTGAAACTTTGATAGTGATGAATGTTGGGTTTAGATTCAGTCCACTAAGCTACTGTTTACATAGAGATTAGTGATTAGTCAGGAAAGGGTTAAGAGAGCAAGTGAGTTAATTAGGAGGCTCTTATTGGTGTAAATAGGAGCATATGCTGATGTGATGAGTGTGCCTAGTGACTCAGTAATACTCCCTCCGGTCCTTTTTATAAGATTCCACTTGTGGTTGTCTAAATATTTAATGTCTTTTTACCATTTTTGCCCCTAATTAATTTTATATATTGCATTAATTAGAAAGTTCACTACATTCTCTTTCATACTTTCTGAAAGATTTCTGAATAATTTGCTATATGTGTTTACTGAATAGCATTTTACATGATATATAGGTCAAGAGGGGATATTCCTAATTATTGTAGATCTGATTTGGTTTCCCTGAACAACTCCTAGAATCACGGGATAGGATAATGGTCAGATTAGGTCAGATTTTATCTTAATCTGACCATTACAACATTTATGGTTAAATGATCCTAGAAGATTAGGGTTAAACACCGGCCATGGGCCGCTGATGGCAAGCCCACTTTCCCATACTCCCTCTCAAGCTGGTGAATAGTTGTTGATCATTCCCAGCTTGTTTTTGAATCCTTCAAATTTTTCTTTAGTTAAGGACTTTGTCATCACGTTTGCAATATGATATCTTGAGGGTATGTAGGCTAGGTCAATCACTTTGTTGTCTATCTTTTCTTCGATGAAGTGATGATCTATTTCCACATGCTTTGTGTGATCATGGTGTACAGGGTTGTTAGCAATTTTTATTGTCGAGAGTATATCACACCACACCTTTATTGGTACCTTGCCTTTCATATTTAATTCCTTGAGAAGCCTTACAAGCCATATCCCCTCACAGATACCTAGAGCCAGAGCCCTATATTCTGGTTCTGCTGAGCTTCTTGAAACTACCAGTTGCTTGCTTCTCCAAGTTACTAAGTTTCTACATACATAGGAGCAATAACCAATGGTAGACTGTCTATCCCTTTTAGAGCCAGTCCAGTCAGCATCTGTGAAAAGCTCCACTTCTTTTAAGTCATCTTTTGCAAAGAACAATTCTTGTCATGCAGTCTTTTTGAGATATCTTAGGATTTCATATGTTCCTTTTGGGGACTACTTGAGAATTGGCTTACTACACTAACTGGATAACAAATATCAGGTTTAGTGTGGGATAGGTAGATGAGTTTTCCCACTAGCCTTTGATGCCTTTCTTTGTTCACTGCTTCTCTATTGGGCTTAATTGTCAACTTCTGAGTTAGTTCTGTTGAGGTGTTGGCTGGCCGAGATCCTGGCATCCCTTTTAGTTGTAGGAGATCTAGTGTATACTTTTGTTGGGATATACTTATCCTGGCTTTTTCATTGGCGCTACTTCCATCCTAGGGAAATACTATAGTGGACTAAGGTCTTTTATTTCGAATTTGGTTGCTAGATTTTCCTTAAGCTTCCCAATTTCTTTCTCATCATTACCTGTCAATATGATATCGACACATACAATGAGAGCTGTTAGCTTGTCATTATAGTGCTTAATAAATAGTGTATCATCAGCCTGACATTGTTTGTAGCCGTGCCCCTTAATTGCTTGGGAAAATTTCTCAAACCAAGCTCTTGGGAACTGTTCTAGCCCATACAAAGATTTGTACAACCTGCAGACTTTCCCAAAGGTCTCTGAATTTCTCATCCCCAGAGGGATTTTCATATAAACTTCTTCTTCTTGGCCTCCATTTAGGAAAGCATTTTTAATATCAAGATGGTGGTGTAAAGACTAGTCCATGTTGGAGCAAAGGTTTCTTGATAATCTATGCCATAAGTTTGAGTAAACCCTCTAGCAACTAAACGAGCCTTATAATTATTTATACTCCCATTTGGATTATGTTTTACTGTGAATACTCAATTACTACTTACCTTTGTTTTACCTTTAGGCAGATTTGTAATTTTCCGGTTTCTATTCTTATGTAGAGCTCTCAATTCCTCTTCGATGGCTTGCTTCCTATTTGGATCTGAAATAGGTTCACTGAAGTTCTTAGGAATCTTCACATTTTCTATGTTAGCTACAAAAGTCTTTAGATGAAGAGAGAGAGAGCTTATAAAGGCACATATTTACTGATAGGCTGCTGAGTGCAGCTCTTTTTACCTTTTCTTGAGGCAATGAGCCAATGGAGATCTTCAGAACTAGGTTCAGGTGCAGAATCATGACTGTGTCTTGGATTAGTAATGGGCTTTCCTTCATTGTGTTGCTGTTCTGTGTTATGAACGGGTGATTCTATCGAGTTTTCTGTCATATCTTGGTCAGAAATAGAGTTTAGGGGTTCAAAGAAGTTTCTGTTTTGAGGCACAGATCTGCTTGGGGAGTTTTCAGGTCTGGTTGGGTTGTTCAGTCCTTTCTGAGCTGTTTTGGGGGCGGCTGTTTTGAGGCACAGAAGGAGAGGTAATAGGTATATCTAAAGGTATTGAAGGGTTTGTGTAGTTCAAGGGGTCTGATTGCTTGTTAGAGTGATCACAAATTATCCAATCATTTTCCTGATTCTCCCTTTGAGTGGGTGATTTGTGATAATATGGTTGTTTTTCAACAAACCTCACATTCATAGTAATGTAAATTCTGTTGGTGATGGGAGAGTAGCATTTATAACCTCTTTGGTTTGAGGAGTAGCCGAGAAAAAATACATTTTATGGCTCTAGGATCCAGTTCCCCCAATGTTCATTGTATACAAAAGCAGTGGAACCAAAAACCTTTTTTGGTAGAGAGGTAAAGAGAGCAGAGTTGGGAAAATGTTCAAGAAGAGTCTGGAGAGGGGTTTTGAAATGTAAGACTTTGGA